CAACTTGAGGCGTTATTCGCCCTCCCCCTGCGTGTGGGTGATTAATTCGAGGCTAAAACATCAGAGTAAGTCTCATGGTCACGCCTTTTCTACATGGACTACGTTTATGGTTAAAACAGACCTACTGTCAGCCCACTAGCTCCCATCGCCGCCGCGTCTATCCTGTTTCCATCTCAAATACCAAGTCTATGACTCCACATGCCCTAGAATCTTGTGTGCCAACCCACAAATGTTGTGGTACAGCTTGTTTTGATTTGGTTCATTGTTGCACCACAACGTTTGTGGGTTGGCACACTAGTTTCAGATCGTATATACGAAGACTTGTTTAGTCGTAAACTCCTTTAGCCTTACAATGTTGGTTCGATCTTGTTTTCTCAACTTGGTCGGAACATGAGGCAGACCTTGAGAAACGTACCTAGTCCCGTGCCCCCTGCCACAGTATTCACGATTTCCAGCATTGGATCATTGGTTGGTTACATTCCCAAACGTTTCGCCGGCATCGTCAGTGAGAGGCGCTCTCGTTAAGACAGAGCCACAACCGATCAAAGTGACAAGTGACGGCAATACCCTTGACCAATTCTCTGTTCACTCGTTGTGACATCACTCCTCACCCCTATTTTTTTTTAACTTCTACTGCCACATCTCCTTCTCTCAACCCCACTTGTATGGCCCATCAACTTATTCACACAATTATGTGCTCTCTTTCCTTCCGAAAATAGGGGCGAGCAGTAATGCCACAAGGGTTGAACAGAAAATTAGTCAAGATGGTTGCATTCACTTGTCACTTTGATAAGTTGTAACTCTGTGCTTACGATGGCGCCTCTCATGGAAAATGCCGACTATGATGCCGACAAAACGTTTGAGCATGTGCCAAGTCAATGGTCCGAAGCTGGAAATCACAAATACTATGACAGATGACATGGGACTAGGTACCTTCCACAAGGTCTCCCTGACGGCCCGACCAAGTTGTGGAAACATGGTCGAACCAGCACTATAACTAGTTTTAAATAGAAAGATATAGAATGATTCAGTTAGTTCTCTTCCATATAAGTCATGATGCATTTGATTGGGTGCTTCTGTATGTGTGTGTGCTTGCGTGCATATATTAACGTCTGTACAAAATACCGGTCATAAATAAAATTTAGGCAACGGAACTCAATATAAGAACTTTACTTATATTATAAATTCGTTTGTTAGCAGGAGGTTTATTCGGCCATGACAATGATTATGCTTTTGCCAATTTACCTAAAGCTGAAATTCACGGAAATTTGTGTAAATCAAAGGACTAGACTAATCGTCAAACTTGAGGAAAAATTGGTTTAGACAATAATATCCAGAGGTCACAAGAGCAAAGAGCATGGCAGAGACTGAAAATGAAATAGAATTTTAGAAGAGAAACTTGTTTTTCCTGAGATAACATTGTTAGGTGGACCTTCATTTCGGATGAAAGTGCATGAGATCCAGCTGCTACAAAATTGTTTGTGCATGTGGCCGACCTATTCGACAAAGATTGGTAGGACACAAAAATGCGTGAAAAGGAAGATAGGTCCAACTGTCAGAAGTAGCCGAACAAATGGTAGAAAACGGACATTAAATAAAATGGTCTCAAACGTTCAGAAGTGGCCGAACACGGTAGAAACTGGAAAGAAAATAAAACGGTCTCAAACTAGTCGGTTTCCTGGCTACGGTACGTCTGTGTTTAAAAGAAAGATAAGAGAGGCTATAGAAATTAATAGCTTAGGAAATACGTTGAATGTGAGGAACGGAGGTAGAAAGTTGAGTAGGAAATACTTATGTTTGATTGATAGATTGAAAGAGAGAGAGGGTGTTAAGCCGCCGTCAAAAAGAAGGCGACTCAACCAATATTTTTAGCTCAATTTTGATGAATCTTTTGAAATAATGCTAATGTAGAGACTTTCATTTCGTATGAAACTGCAAGATAAAGATATTCATGAGTCGATCTCATCGGAAATTGACGAATGGTTCCCTTGGCTTTAGTACGATGTATAGTCGAATTTACTCATTCTGACTTACAGAGATGCAGACATACAGATGCGCGCACACACACGCTCAAATATAAGTGACCTCATCAATATGAATAGCATTAACCAAATTGTTCTATATCCATTTTTACATATTTTTATCATTTTTAGTTTTTTTTGACTTAACGTCTACTTGAAGCTTCTGAAGAATGAGTTCCAGATTTGCGATGTCCGTCATATGATTAGCATATTTTCACTCAAAACGAGGGAGGATGTTGCGTGGACTGCGTCATCCTGAATGTCGTATCAAAGCCAAACGGCCTTTATCTTCTGAATCTCTTCATAATGTATTTTAATGAGAAATGAAAATCTCCAATACAGAACTAAGAATAGCATAGACTGGTGCGCTCCTAGTCTAAGTTTGTTCTCCTCGAGTGACCGCGCCTACGGGCAAAAGTCAAAAGATATGTGGATTCGGCAAGTAGTCTGCATGTTTTGAAGTTGTTCGTTTAAGGTATATGCTATAAATGGGAAAATGCATATACTATTATCTTTATTACCTTAAATGAAATAGGATGAATATAATTAAGATATAAATGAGCTACTGGCAGTCTCGAAAACCTAGTTATAAATGAAATATTAGTAATGCCGTCTTTTGCTTTAGCAAATATATGCTTGCTTGATCAGCAATCCCCCCACAGAATGTGATATGGGAAAATATGTGTCCTTCCTTCAAATTCGCATCTACCCTGTCACCCAAGGGCACTCGTGGTAATGTGGTGTAGTGCTTAACGTGTCGAGATTATACGTTGCAGTATCATGGTTCGAGTCCCGCTAGGGGTAAGGCCGAAATTGTAGTCCACTCTGAATAAGAATACCTTTTGGGAAGCAAAGTTATGCAAAATTTAATGAAAGCGTAAGCTCTACTCACATCATTGTGGGACAATTCAATTGCCAATCTCCTTGTCACCTTAAACGAAAAAGGATGAATGTTCTCCATACATGAAGGATCTAACATTGAAGGTGACTTCGATGATAACAAGGTTTGTTCATCCAAGTTGAACCGAAAAAACGACCAATTTGTAAAGACGAGGTCAAACCACTTCTATAAAGCTTGTTTTGACGAAGAGGTCAAAACAACCCAGGCCCGTGGGCTGCAGCTGAGTTTTACTGTGGCCGTGGAGCTCGAGTCCTGGTGCCTTGGCAGCACCGGTTCGAGTGCACAAAACAGGCTATTTGTCGCTTACCTGTTAAGGCCAACTAGGCCCAGCCCCGTGCGCTTTAAAGTTGGTGAATGGGGTTTTGCTGGTCCCAACTCGCTCTGCTCAACAGGCTTGTGTAGCAGCGTGAGTCGAGTTGGTGTTCGAGGGGGTGTGTGACATGAGAAAACGATACCACCCCATCGGATGATACTAAATTTCAAGTCGACTCACTTATCCTGTTTTATAGCTTACCACCTGCCCTCGTATCTCGACTGACTTATACCACAACTTATGTGGTCCAGGTGCATGTGAACCCTTTCTTAGGCGTAGAGATCTACGCGTTTGCAATCATAGTCCCGCCCCAGACTCGCAGTCTCAATCACCCTCCAACTATTCTTAGTCGAGTGAAACACATTCACATGCGACAAACGCGAATACAGCCGCACAACCAGCAGAAGGATGGAAAAGAGCATTCCACTCCGGATTTTGGACCGCGTGAATGCGTTGTCGAGGTTTATGATTTGCATACCGGCGAGGTCTCTTGTCGACTTGACAACAATTCTATTTCTTCCGGTCGCCCGAGGCCTGTGCTGCCCACCACCCTCATTCTTTCCTGATACAGATGCGGTCTCTTCCACCTTGCCCACCTTCTCCTCTGACGGTCTGTAGACTTCTATGCGACTCGAGCGCCCCCGTGCCTCCCAGACTGCTTGATCATCTGCCCTCCCTACCTCACAGATACCACACACAATTACATCATGATTATGCGATACGCTTATCTTTTCATTTATCTACTCGTCGGGTTGTTGGGTTGTCTTTTGAAGATCGACTGGGCTGCTTCACACGTTGGCGCGTCCATCTGCTCTAGTTCGTTATACGCCAGTATGTCTTCTTTTGATCACCGTTACTAGGCCTGTTGGCATTGTAATCAGTCTCATTCAACCAACTGATATGCCACACATTCACAAACACAAACACACAGACACAGGATCTTATATGTGCGCAAGCACACAAAACACACTCCAACTCGAATAACCCTAAAGAGGCATGGGCGCAGATAATCTGTCAGCCGGTGGTCCGTAGTAACAGGATAGCGGGATCCGAGATCTGCGCCAATGGTTGGTATCTGATGCTGGTGCTGATGCTGGTACCGCTCTCTCGGTCCGACAAACACAGGCCGGTTGCCTCCAGCGCGCTGCTTGGCCGTGGTAGGGAGAAAAAAAGATAGCAGAGCTTTTTCATGGGCCTCAGTTCTGCAGTGGAGGGACCACCTGACGATGCCACGTGGGTGTAGCTGGGACGTGTAAAAAAAGCGCCTCACGACTCGCATAGGTAGGGCAGGCTGTAGCAACCGGTCGGGCAGACAAACCTGGTACAGCAAAGTCATCTCGTCTCCGCTCTCTACAGTTCATCATCGACTTCCTGATTATTTTGTCACATGTTGGCTTAGCATGCAGTTCGTTTGAAGACGCAGATTCAAGAGAGTTATAAATTGGCCACATTCGAAATCGAAGGAGAACTCATGGATTGTGTGAATAAGACGTTGGCTCACCGTATTTCGTCGGACATGGAACAGACATCACCAGGAAAAGAAAGCATCATTTACGAAAATATTCATCGAAATGCTAAGCCAAGAAATGTGACCAACTGGAATCCCACTTACTTATAATAAATAATTTTTAAAATCCCAATGATAAGTAAGTAGGGCGTTAAAAATAAAGTCACACAGACTCCGATAATTTGTAAAATTTTACTTCGGTACTTCTCTTCAGCTTATTAACGGCCTACATTTGTTCACTAAACGTGTATATTTGCATAGATTTTTGGAAAATTATGCAAAGGTTATAGGATAAATGAACGGAAACTTCGAAGACTAGTATCCCAGGTGGTAGTTTCTAAAAGCGTGACCCTTTAAAAACGTATCTAGACTGGTTATTTGAACCAAAAATAGCGGGAAACGCCACTTCTGCCTGAATCAAAGGTCTTGGCACATCTCATTGAAGGACGACATTGGATTCGCCTTGATCTCTTCAGTTTTGATTGTACTCGAACTTACAGTCCTCGGGACACTTCCTTCAGCTTAGGCGAAGCAGCTATGAGCTTCAATTAGTATGCTGATAAAGGTAACATATTTAGAATATAACTAGGTTTAGAGGTTATCAATAGATCTTAGTCAAGAACTTACCCTCGAAATCGACTTATATCGAAATAAAATAATGTCGTAAATTGCAATGACACATTTTTGATTAATCGGCAATCCAAGTATATAAAATATGAATTCGGAGAT